ATGAGAAGAGACAGGGAGAAATAGACTGTTAGGCTTTTCCCAGACTGTGTAGGACTATGTATAGCCTATGCTCTATGCATTGTATTCTTGCTTTAGTGGGTGATGAAGAAAGTGAAAAGACATGGCTTTTGAACTAACCAGTTAATGGCCTTGCTAATGGAAACTCTCCGACTTCCAAAAGATGGTACCAGTTACTTGAGCATGGACAGTAGCAATCTAGCTGATTCTGGAGCATCTGCCTCTAAGCAGGACTTGTTATTTGGCTGTGCTCTTGACTCAGTACAGATTTAGAAGATAATAAAAAAAATTCATTTTCACAACCCCAGGAGAACAACGTTCTATTTCTTTGGTCAGGCATCTCATCTTTCCTCTTGGGTCCTGTTTGTGAAGGTAGCCTTTAGTGGACAGAGAGCTAAAGAGAGAACATTCCAAAGGTTTCTGTTGCATTCTACTTTCCCATAATCCATCCCATACTAATCTTGTTCCCCACCGCAGGAGGCTCACATGGAAAAGCAGATATGTTCCTAGATAGGCATCACTCTCTGTCTTCCAAACTCTCCCCAAAGCAGCAAAATAGGGTGAAACAAATGAACATAAACACAAATTTCTGCCCTTAAAGAAGAGTAATGTGCTGCCACAGGCGGCCTTATATTGGATTTGTAGGCCCTCAGATGAAGATCCTTTGCCTTTTGTATCCCTCTCTCTTCTAGGGCTATTCAAGAGTTACCACTGAAGACACATCCACATGGTTGTTGCTGGGACACAGCATAGACTCAATAGGCATGAATAAGATCCTTGGGTCTTAGCAATAGAGCAGAAAGAGTCTGAAGCCCTGGAACTGACAATGGGGATGGGCAAAAGAAAGGAGGAAATGAGGTAAATGCTAATCCTATAGCATATAGCACCCTTCAATAAGTGGTCCAGTGAACATGAGGGAGTGCTTAATAAGTCATTTGTCTCCATTTTTTCTTACCAGCCCGAAAATGTCACCTCTGCCAGACCACATCCAGATCCTAAAAAGAACCTAAAGGAAAATTTTTTTGTGCATTGCCATAAAAGGGCATCTTTTAAATCAGATATATGTGAATTTGGTAAATTACAGTGACTAGACCAGTCCGTTCATGGGTACCCCAATGTTTCCTCAGGATCCCAAGAGCAACTGACAGCAAGATCAGAATGTTATGCAGTGTATCCCTCAATACCCTCTCCTACTCATATAGCCTCCCTTATTCATTTATAGCCATTCCTAGGTATCTCTCCATTCTTATTCCTCTGAAGTCTACAACTAGGGATTCTTTCCTTAGTTCACTTTTACCTTGCTCCAGGGGATTCATTTAACATGTAAATGCTTCGAGGGAGTCCTCTGAGGCAATGGAAAAGCTCAATCATTTCTCTATAACTTAGCCCTTTGCCCTTTCCTCTGACTTTAAAGGGCACTGTGGCACAACATGGCCAGTGTTCTCTGGCAAAATGATCCAAGTGCGCGTGATAGGTGTTTTGCCACAATTGTGCAAAGTATATCTGAAGCATTGTCCGGTCTTCCTTGACTGGATTTCCTTCAGAGGAAAAGACGTGGGACACAGCTTTGACTGTGGTCCTACTTTCCCTCGAGACTCAGTTGACAGGACAATGAATGGTCTTGCCCTCTTGTTCTGAGGGGTTAGCACTAAAAACTAAAGTCATCTTGACCACATTGTTTTCCTGGGCATGCTGCAGGTTAAATAGCCACAGGGCTGAAAGATGGCTTCCCATCACCCTCTCCCACAGCCATTTTTGATGAGTAGTTCAAGTTCACCTAGGGTGGCTGCTGATTCAATCCAATCTCTTCACCCCTGGTAGCACCCAGTCATGTTCCCTTATCTGCACAGAACATTCTAGACAACTCTCCCTCTTACCTGTCTCACAAGATCCATCATTTCAAGGGACTGCACCAGTTACTTGAGACTGTCACTTAGGATCTAATGAGGTCCTGAACTTCCAGGAGACGACTTAGGAGAAATGCAGCAGCTGAAGGTATGTGAGATGTTTGGTTTATGCTTTTATTTCCCTTCCTTAGAGGAGTAAGCTTGGCAAATCAACAGGGAAAGTCAGGGAGAACTATAGAAGCCCCCGAATCCTGGCTTTTTTTTCTTATACTCTACCACTCCATTTGGGCCTGTGCCTGGTACAGCCCTGTGCACATGGGATTATAATCATATTTTACATGAGAATTCTGGGCCTGGAAGCAAAGGGGAGGAGAGCGCTGAGACAGTTCGGCATGGCTTCTTACCCAGCCAAGATTGTGAGAATGCAGAAAGCGGGCTAAAAACTGTGGTAGTTGCTAGTTGAATAAGGTGTTGCCAATATTCTCCAGGCAATCTGAATAGAATCTACAGAGTGGGAAATTTTCTCTTACCCTTTTCTCTGTTATTTAATTTCCTAAAGAAGAAAGTATAAAACGAACACTCACACATCTTTAGCTCTGTATTTCTCCTAACTATTCCCCATTCATGACCTCATTTTATCCTCACGTTTGCCAGAGCTCTCGGGGCCTGAGACCAGAGAGGCTAAGCAGCTCACTCTAATAGAGAATACTGGGTAATTGGCAATGCCATGGCTAGACTCCAGTTCTGGGGATCCCTGGTCCTCTGTCTCTCTCTAAGACATCACAGTACATTTTGCTTTAACCATCAGGCAAGATTGTTTGGAAAGCAGCCCAAGCCCTTTCCTCTTTGCGGATTCAAATCCTGTGCAGAGCCCGTGTTTATAAAAGCAGCGGCAAATTGAAAAGAAGATGGTAACTAGAAACCAATCAAAGGCTCCATTTACATCTCTCTAGAAAACGAAAATGTACCACACAGAAGTATGGTTGTGATGGAAGAAAGGCTTCTGTTCATTTCTGTGCCGGTCATGAGCACTTTGGCATACTGTAACGCAAACATTGCTCAGTTCTCCTCTGATGAGAGCCCCAAGTTACAGGAAGCATGTCTCTTCTGCTTCATTGTTGCTATGGAGCAAAGATCCAAACCTGCGAGGAAATAGGATCTATCTGTGTGTGCAAGGGAGGGAAACAGAATATCAGGTGAGGGAAAATTGGTCACTTGTATTTACTTGGAAGGTTTACCACCTTTGAAATCAGTTAAGGCTGAGTCTAAATCTTCTAGACTTAAAGAGTTACCTCATGATCTTTGAGGCTATGTTATCAAGACTGGAGGTTCATGCCACCAAGCTCACTTCAATGCTATGGACAACCAATGCTGCTGGTTGGTAGATAGCTAAGTGTCCAAACTTCTGGGAAACTTCATTATCTGGGGAAAACTTTTAACTATGAAAGTATTTGACAAAACCAAGTAGACAGTGAGGCAGATCACATTCCCTTCAGCCAGTTCACTTTTCTGGAAAGGAGCCTTCTGTACAGTTATTGTGGGTGGTAATTCCTAAAGGGCACCTAAGTCACTGTGAAAAAGAAAGGTTAAATAAAATGTATTTAAAATCAGGACTGACGATATTCTACTAGCACTGGAATGCTTTTTGATGGGTATTGTTTCAACTCTGTCTAGTGTATTCTTTTACTTTTAGCAATAAGTACTTACAGATGTTGGTAATGGTTACAAATACACTTCCCAAGTTTCAGCACCTAAAGCAGTCATTACATTTCATTTCCAAAACAACTCTTCTTGCTCAATTATACCAGAGAAACAAGTGGCACCATTGCACTTAACACATGCTGATGACTGACTCCCATGTCCTTCAGCATGGCTGCGTATCTCTACCCCTCCTCCACAGCTTTCTCAGGCCTCCCTATATGGCTGCAGTGGCTCTCAGAGCATCTTCTATCTTCCCATCATTGTCCTGGACTCCTGCCTAATTCTCGTTCTCAGCCCCCACCTTCAAGAAAAGGAGGTGACCTTAGGTCTGGAACTGGGACTGGAGAGGAGCCAATGAGGCCATGCCAGCCTTGCTTCAAGGAATGAAGCCTGGGAATGAAAGAAAGTTCATTTAACTTATTAATAGCTCCAGTAAAACACCAGATGAGCTGGAAGGTCAAGGGCAATGGCTTGAATGAGGTTTCCAGATTATCAATGCATGTAACTGATCCATAATGTCTTTGTCATGCTGTTACTGGCAAACCAACTGTACTGGAGCAAATTGGTTGACTTTTAAGAAGTAATTTCATATGTATCTGATGGATTCTAAACCATCATTATAGGTATAAGTATTTCAGTCCTAAGCAAGTTAGTTTCTGACAAACTGGGAGCAAGGAGCATGACTCGGTAAATATTCACTTCTAGAGCCAGATAAAATGGTGCAGGAGGATGATGAGTTCAAAGCCAGTTTGGGCTACATAATAAGTTTGGGGTGAGCTTCAAATGTATAGTGAAACCTTGTCTTAACCTTGCATATAAAAACTAAAGGAAAATGCACACCTCTGACTTCAGGGTTACAATTTTACATTGTGTAAATCTCATATAACTATAAAGGTAGCTATAACATTAGCTTTGATTTCAGCTAGTATTTAGGGAACTTCTTTCAAAATTATACTAATTTTTAAGTTTTATATGTGTGTATTTACATGTATTTACATCACCCCCTCCCTCCATCTCCTTCCATGTCCTGAAGGCTTTCATTTTAAATGCACATTCTGCAAAACCACAAAAAAGGGGGTAGAAAATCCTTAATTAGTACTGTCATATTTAAAGTGATGAAGAGGTGATAAAGCAGTTGTAACTTCTGAAACACATTAAACAATGTCATTTGGGCACAGAAACCTCTTTACTATGTTGCCCAGGAAGGCCTTGAACTCATGGTTCAAGTGATTTTCCTACCTCAACATCCTCAGTAGGTGGGACTCTGTTCCTTTCCTCCCCCCACCACACATTGCTCACATTTGGCCTATCATAAATATATATGTTACAACCCTCCAATTCCAACATCATTTCCAAATGAAAAATAAACAATTCCTTTTCTATGCAATACTGGGCCCGTCTCAAGGCTGGGATCTTTGAGGCAAGAGTCTTGAGTTACTGTTTAACAACCTTTATTACCTGCCTGTAACATTCCCCAGGGTTACAGAGCTGGGGATGACTAAGCCTCATACTGAATGAAGCACACACTGCAGTAATAACTGAATCAATATAAGAGAAGCATTTGGAATCATTAAGGCTAAGCAACTAGTAATGATTATCCAAGCCAGATGTCCAAATTGCTAATGCTCAGACCTTTGGGATGACAATTAGGAGGACAGGGAGACCAGAACACCATACCCCTGGGGCCATAGATCTTCCTTTCCCATTGAACCTTCCCTCCCCTTCAGTCCATTCTATCCCACAATAGTGTCTCCCTAATAGCCTGCTGAAGAGAGAGAGAAGGAAAAGATGTCTGAAGTCTCTTCATGTTCTTTGTCTCTGTCCCCAGGGCAACAGAAAGCCGGAGCTGCTGCAGCCGGCCTGGCAGTGATGGCTAACCCGTTTAGCTGTGCAGAGTGAGCAGTCCTTGGCAGCCCCTGGAGCAGCTGCCAGTTAGACGGTCCAGAGTTCTGCTAGACTTCATTGCTTCGATTCAATGCCAAGTGTTGGACGTGCTGGATTCTGTTCCCAGAAGGCTGGAGCATGGTGTTGGGGCTGGCTGAAGACAAGAGAGCAGAGGCAATTTAATTCAGTTGCATGTGCAGGGTAGGGGTGCAGGCATGGAAGGGAGGGGAGAAAGTGGTCAGGTGTGAGTAAGACGATGCATCTCCTCCCAGGGCCTTGCCTTGAAGGTGTTCTGACCTCTCATCATCATCTGGGCCCCTGGTAAAGCAAGATCTGAAATCAGGACAGTGAAAGAGCGGAAGCCAGGCCCAGAGATAAGCAAAATGAGGAGGGCAGTGGATCTAGACCCGCTCAGCGCCCTGGGCTATGGCAGGCAGCGCCCCCGGTGCGATCTGGCGGCCGCCCTCAGCCAGCAAGCCCTGGCCATTCTCCGGGTCTGCGGAGGCGGCGGGGACCCATTCCTGCTCAGCAACGCAGGCCAGAGGTGGCTCATCCTTGGCCTCGACGAGCTTGCGGGAGCGGGTGTAGGCCAGGATGAGGCCTCCAGCTAGACAGGCGTAGAAGATCATGATGAGCAGGATGTAGAGATAAGCATCGTTGCCCTTGGCGCTGGTCACCTCGCGGCCCACAAAGGGGTCAGGCACGACCCCCATGCCCATACTCGGGCCCGGGCCGACACCCAGGCCGCTGGCGTTGCCCCGATGGTGCAGCTCCAGGAGCAGGCGGTTCAAGAGGGTTTGCAGCCGTTGGCTCTCGCTGCAGTTCATGGCTGTTGGAGAGTGACACGGAGGCTCCAGGACGCCGTTGACCCTTCCCCCGAGGCGAGGGGAAGCAAGCGAGCAAGGGAACAGGCAGAGCAAGCAGGGAGCAGAGACCTCGACAGTGAGGTGGCACCCAACTCCCCAGCCGGCTGCGCGCAGTGACTGGGGGCGCGGGCAGTCGCCTCCTTATCCCCTCACCCCCCCGCTCCTCCTCCCCTTCCCCACCACGCCCCCTCCAGTTCGCCACCGCCTCTTTCCAGGCTCAGACTGTCTCGCCACTTAGGGGAAAGGGGACAGCTGGTAGGGGGAGGAGAAGGGGATAAGGGACGGGGTGAGCCCGGAGGAGGGACGGAGGGGGTGGGAGCTCGGAATGTGCAAGGCCCCAGGCAGCAGAGGTTGGCAAGGGCGGCATGCTGGGGCCAAGCCTGGACCCTGGGCTGCGGAAGAGAATTCCTTCCAAGTTCTAGTCACCAGCCCTGCAGGCCTGGCTTTGGCCCAGGTACAGCAGCCGCCTGCCTCCCCCAAGGCAGGACCTGCCCTGGAGCGCCCAAGCAAGACTTCAGAAGTCTTCCATCAGCTCTAGCTGGTTTGTAGCAGCTGAGACACCCCCACCCCCACCCCGTTCGCATCCTGTGCCTGTTACTCCCCTAGTTGAGGCCTATTTAGTTTCTAGTCCTCACACTTTTTTCTCACGCTCTCCCACCCGCAGTCTGAAGAGAATATCTTATTTAGACGATACCCAGGCCAAATTTGGTACCTGAGGGATCAGGTACTTACTTCAGAAAGCCAACACAGTGGAAGACTCCCAGGTTGTTCAAAAATGCTTGCAGATGGTACACAGTCCGCTAGTCTTGCTCTTATACCACAACTTGACAGTCGCTCGCGTGTCTTAAGACGTCTGTGTTTTATGCACAATGTGACCTTGTTTCCTTTGGGGAAGCCATCTTCCCAGAAATGAAATAAAATTCTACCATTAGGAGGAGCAGGGAAAGCAAGAAGTTTATGACTACACTCCCTAGACATCTCAGGGTCTGAAAAATGCCATTTCTAGAAAACATACTTACTCTCAGTCAAGCCTGCACATAGCTGTGTGACTCTCCAGGGCTTGATAATAACTCTAGTGTCTGATGGCTTCTGGAGCAGTCATGTTTCCTCAGGGAGGTATCTCCTGGCAGGAGCAAGCAAGTCACTCAGATGAACATCAGTTCCAGGCATGTCTAAGCCGAGGACTGGGGGCCACATGCTTCATGGGATAGACTACAGTACAACACAGTTGTATATGGAAGTCATGTCCTGTGCCAAAACTTTGGACTGTGTTAAATTAAATACAGACTAGGATTGACAAAGTCAAAAAGGGTGCATTTGTAGATAAAAGAAGTTAAAAAAAAATGAGGTAGTTGTGGTCATGTCTGGCTGTAGAGAGACATATACATGAGAAAATAGCAGGAAAAAGTCTATCTTATGGACATTCTGCAGACAAGGCTGCCTGATCAATAAATACCATTTGATTCAGGGACCAAGCTGTAAGTGTCGTGAGTTCTTAAAACTTACTTTTATTTATTGTTTGAGTATTTTGTCCACATGTGTTTCTGCACACAACATGTGTGTCTGGTGTTTGGGGAGGCCTGAAGTGGATACCAAATCCCCTGGAACTTGAGTTGCAGATGGTTGTGAGCTGTCATGGTGGGGGACTGGGCGAGATCCTGAGATTTGAACTGGGTCCTCTGAAAGAGCTGCAAGTCCTTTTGTCTGCTATGCCACATCTCCAGCCTTGCCACTGAGTTTCAAAGGGCTTTGCTGGCACCTTTGCCCCAGCTATCCTTCTGTCCACTCTCCCATCAGGGGCCCCCAACCTTAAAGATGTTTAGACAAGGTTGGTACCAATATATCTCAGCTTCACAACTTGTAACAGACCACAGAGACATTCCACAGGACTTGGATGGGGGCCCCAGGCTTCTCACCTCAGCAGGGCTCAGAACAGGGAATGACTGCTAAACTGATGAATGCCATAAGACACCACGAGGGACTTTCCAAAGCAGCGACTTTCCAGAGATAAAGCTGTCGAACTGAAAGACTCCTCCTGTCTGTTGAAGCATGCCTAAAAATAACTAAGGTTTGGACGGTGTGTAAGGCGAAAATGCTCCTCACCATAACGTAAAGAATAACCCATTAACCTTGGACTTTTCAACAGCTTCATGAACTCATAATATTACTGTCATTTTCCAAAAAGGAAACAGATTAAGAAAGTCAAGTAGTAGTGCTGAAACTGTAAGGTCTGGCTGGGTGTTGGTGGCACACATCTTTAATCCCTGAGTTTGGGAGGCGGAGACAGGCGGATCTCTGTGTATCTATGTACTGAATTCCAAGCCAGTAAGGGCTATAGAGTGAGACCCTGACTCAAAACAAAACAAAATTCTAAGATCTGACCTTTGTCTTGCCCCTACTACATGACTCTCCTTACGTGGGTAGGGTCTGTGAGCTTCATCTATTTCCTTCCTCTTCCCTCCTTTGCCCAATACTTTCTACCAAACCCCTCTTTCTGTATGATCACCTGCGGCCTCCTGGCCAAATTCAGAGGTCTCTCCTCAGTTTTCCCTTTTGACTTGCAAGGTAAATTTGACATGGCAGCCCCCAAGTCCTTCCTGTCACTGTCTTAGCCTTGGCACGCCTGGCATTGCATTCTCAAGTTTCTCTTCTTATCTCTCTGATCCATCATTCTCTGCTTTCTGTTGGCCCCTCCCTCTTCTTCACTCCTCCAATTAACTGTTGGGATCCCCAACACTCAGCCCTCAGCTATCCTCTCTTAATGCCCATTACCTTGGAAAGTGTCTGCTTTCCATAGTTTCACCTGCTACCTGGCAAGTACTTAGTCAAATGTGAATCTCCAGCTCTGATCCTTTCTGCATAGCATCTCTCAGATCCAGCCGCTTCTTCCTTTCTGGGTTTGATTGCCATGTGCTTAATCCATGCTCTCATTACCCAGGTCAAACTCGCAGACTGAGAGTCTCTTGGCAAATCTCCCTGCTTACAACCCAACCCGCCCCCTCCTGCTGTGGCTAGAATACTTCTCCAACATCACTGCAATCAATTCTCCCTAGATCCGGAAGCCCAAGTTGTTCCCCATGGCTTCTTTAATAGACCCAGTGTTTTTTGGTGGGCCTTGAGTTCTGACCACCAATAGACAACCTCTCTTCCTTCCAACTGAAAAAATAAAAGCACATTCCTGGGGGTTTTCTCTGACGCTTTGTGCATTTTTGCCTTGCTCAAAATGAGAAAGAGTGAGGTTCAGTGGCACACACCTATAATCCTGGCATCCTGAGTTGCTCCAAGTTCAACACCAGACAGGGCTAAGTAAGAAAAGCAGGTCTCAAAAGCAAACAAAATGAATGCTACTGGCTGAAGGAAGTCTTGTACCATATTCCCATTAGTACTACCCACTTCTTTTACAGTGCACGCCTCCCGACTCTGTCCAAATCTAGATTGCAATGCTAAATGCAAAGATCCTTTAAAACACAAAGCATCCCCAAATCAATTGTCCGTGTTCTCCCACCTGCATAGGTGTACAGCCATGTATGCACACACACTGTCCCAGTAATCAATCCTTCTCATGTAATATGCTGTGCACTTCTCCAGGCCACGCTCTCTTTTCTGAAAACATAATTTCATTCTCTAGACAACCTTCCAGACAATAGATCTATCACTTATTTAAATGATTCATTGTTGTAATATTTCTGCTATTCCTAGAAGTTCACTATCGATCCTAGGTTTAAGAGATTCATATCATCATGTATGTGTAGATGGCATGAAAGCAGAAGCAGAAACAGTCTAAGGCAGCAGTCCTCAACCTGTGGGTGGAGACCCCTTTGAAGGTCAAATGACCCTTTCTCAGGGGTCACCTAAGACCATTGGAAAACACAGATATTTACATTATGATTCATAACAGTAGCAAAATTAAAGTTATGAAATAGCAATAAAAGTAATTTTATGGTTGGGGTCACCACAGCATGAGGAACTGTATTAAAGGGTCGCAGCATTAGGAAGGTTGGGAACCACTGCTCGAGAGGAACAAGAAGAACAGAGAGGGAAGAAAAGAGAGAGCACTCACATGGAGGGGATTATGCTCAAAGTATGTTATGTACTTGAATGAAAATGGCCACATGTAACTTAGTATAATAACAATTTTTTAAATCCATGAAAGTAGTGTTCTATCGAAGACATACAAGAGTACAACTAATTCCATAAAAAGAAAGCATTACCAAAACAAAAGCAAATTACTAATGTGCAGTTCCATTGGGTGTGTAGATGTGCATATGAAGATGGAAGCAGAAATGAATAGTAATCAAATTTAAATAGGCAAATCTTCAGAAAGAGGACATCACATGGGGGAAAGGATCTGGCTTCCTTTATCCACCAGGGACTACACTGAGCATCCCTTCAAACCCCAGTCCCAGGACAGTCCTGAATGTCTGAGATACCACTCGTCCTCCCTTTCACACTTAATGAGACTGATTGTGTCAGACAGGGATTCCTTCTTAACCCTCCCCAGCCTTACAGCTCCCCCTACTTGTTCCATGCCTGCTAAATAATCTTCTGTTTATCCATAATCCGTCACCATTTATTTCTTGAATGGTAATCACACATGTTGGAAAAGGGAAGTCATTTATAATAATATATTTGAGTATTAAAATTGTTTAGAAAAGGCTCTGACCCATGTCCAGATTGCCTTTAAAATACAGTTGAGGCACCATGGACTAGGACATGCTTTCCCCATTTCTTCAGATTGAGTCCTTGCAACAGAGCAGCTCCATGGAAGCTGGTTGAATGGAACTTTGTTGGGTTTGGCTAGTTGACAAAGGACAGGCACAGATGACACACACTGCTGGAGGCCAGAAGACTGGGAAAGTCACGATTCTGGAGAGGAATGATTTCATGAAGTACCAGTTGTGGACTGGAAACACATCATTCCAGAAGTCCTTCTTTCAAGCTTGCATTCATCCAACACTTTTTACACATTTTTCTGTGCAATGCCCCATGTTGGGTCCTAGAGACACATCAGCACCATCAGCATGTGGTTCATAGATGAACCGTTCGTGGATTTATAACTCTCCCAGGTACATATTTGTGAATTGGAAACAAGCAGGGAGTTCCAGGACATGGAGTTGGATGAACAGTGGAC